CCCCCCCCCCCCCCCCCTCACTTTCCCCTCACTTACAACTTTTCTGCCATTTTCTCCATCATTGGTTTGAGGCCTGATTTATATTTGAGTTCAGGAACAAGGATGACATGACTTCCAACCATTCTACTCAAAAGAACATTGCCTTTAGATCCAACGTCTGTAGCAGTAGTCTGTATGCAGGAAGAGACAACAAAAATATTTTTTCGAGGTAATGACTGGGAAACAAATAAAGGGTATTAATTAGTTCAAGGGTAACGGGTAACTGCTTAAAAATTGATGATTTTTTGAAAGATTATCTGGTGTTTTGATTAACCATTATTGAGAAAACTGTAAGCAGCCTACCTGGGGTGCTATTAAGGATTACCAGAGTGCTCATCTGGCTATTTATTATATAAGAAGAAGTTAGCCTTACTACGTTCATTGTTAGCCTGTTTACAGGAATGGAGAAAAACATCTGCAGTCACAATAGATTAAATAGATCGACTGGCAAAATGGTTATCAACATATAGTTATATCAGGGTAACTTGTAGTCAGTTTACACTTATTTAGTCTTGCCTGCAAACACAGTCACCAGTCTCATCACTCTTGGCCAGTCTAAGGGAGCCGCAATGGCCAAGAGTGTTTAAAGGCAGCTTTCCTCAGGATTGTCAAAAGTGCTCTTCCAAACTGGCTGCCAGAAAAAATAACCTGACCTAGACTAATTGGAATCTATTCTGTATTTGTTGGCCTATCATCTTTTCAGTTTTTTTGGAAAAGATGGCTAATTAATAATAATTATATGCGTATTAAGTATCATTTTTAGAAACAAGTTATCTTGCCTGTTCGGAACTTCTTAGAAACAAGTAAGATTTCAAGCCAAGCTGTCTCGCAGCAACTGCAGTAGTTCTACAATGATTGGAAGAGATGCCACCACATGTAAGCACAGTGTTACACTTCTTTCCTAAGGCATCAGCCAAAACAAACTCCAACTTACGAACCTACAACAGAAATGAAACACAATGATCAAACTTTCCTGTTGCCAGAAACCACCTCTTGTTACATATTAAGCAACCACTCTGTCTGTCGGTCTGTCGCCTGTCTGTCTGTCTGTCTGTCTATCTGTCTGTCTGTCTGTCTATCTGTCTGTCTGTCTGTCTGCTCACAAACCAATTAGCCACTTTTTAAGACATACATGCATTTCTGAAAAAGAAAGGTCTTTGTCTGATGAAGCAATTTGTCAGCAAAAGTGGGACAAAAAATATGCTTATAAGAAACAGGATTTAAATCAATTTGTAAGGTAAGGTAAAGTCTGCATACGTGCCATTTGAGTGACCCATCTGAGGCCGGAGTTTATCTTGGTTTCTGTAGCCTAAAGCCACCAGGAGTACCAGTATTTCTACCCCAACCAAGATGGGATGTTAGTCTATCACAGGGTTACCCCTCAGCATTAAATTCACCGGCACCCATTTATATGCCTGGGTGGAGTGTCGTACTTAGTGAGAGTATAAAGCATCTTGCCTAAGAACACAACACAATGTCCCCAGCCAGGGCTAGAATCTGGACCGCTTGATCCGGAGTCAAGTGAACTAACCATGAGGCCACAGCACCTCCCTTTCCTATAACAATAATAAATCACTATTAACACAATGTTATATATAATTATTGATAAAAAATATGCCAGTCACCTTATTTCCAGACAATGCACATCCTGTCAGATCATCCCTTTTGATATACAGTGAAAATTCTTTCGGGACATTTGGAATGTTCCACTGGTGGATTGGAGTGTCCCTTTGGGCAAGCTGTAAAATGTTAACTAATCAACAGTACATTTTAAGTTATCGTTAGTTGGTTTTGAGAAAGTTTGCCTATCACTAGAAGAAATTTGAATGCTCTGTATCTTCATGACATAAATAAAAGTAGATCATTAAATTTGTAGACCAGCTTATAATTTATATCGGAGGCAAACTGGCTTTTGTCATGTAGCTGGAATTTCTTTCCAACAGTGTGCAGTCCTTCTACTAGCACAGGCTCCTTTCCTGAACAACAGCTGGTAGTTGAGCTTACCCTGTTTTAAGTGGTATCTTTTAGGGGTCAAATAAAGCTTCAGCCTGATTCCCAGATTGGTCTCCTTGAGGGGTTTAATTCAAATTTTCCGATGAACATTCCCGATATTTTATACAGGACTAATCTCCTCTCCTTTTCCCCGGTTTTCCTCCTCCAAGAAACTCTGCTTCTAATTTTAACAAGAAATTCAACAGCTATGCTATAGGTGGTCCCCTGAACTATTTGAAGAACCAGATTATTTTGATCTCCTATCTTAGTTCTGTACTAACACAGAAAATCCTCTTGTTTGAAAACAAATTAACAGTCAAACTTGCTCATATTAAAATCTCCCTTAATACTGATTACAGGCATTACTCTTGAAATATAGATTTGAAAACTCCCCTTGAGCCTTCAGAATTTCAGTCCAATTTTGTAGCATGAGATTGGAATATTTTGGGAATGATCTTATGAAACTGCTTCCCAACAAACCTCCCTGAGGCTAGCCTGCAAACACAGACATATTTCTGGCTAGTCACTTGGTTCCGCCGGAAATACATGTACATCTGCATTCGCAGGGTACCCCAAGTCGGGAACAAATTATTTGCAAATACCATGACAACTGATCCCTCAGGCAGACAAACTAGTTCATTTTGTTTCCTGTAGAACCTCAGTGTTAATCCTTTTACTCCACCTTGTAAATACTAAGATTGTTGAGAAATAAAATTAACTATTTCTGTCAGCCAGCCTCAAGACCAGTCATTATGTGTCGTCAAATGCCACACTTTGAAAAACCTCCCTGAAGATCTTTGGCGCATTAAGCACATAAAATGCAACCATAACAACAAAACATGCTAATCAGCTAGTAAACCACTTCCCAAACAGGACAAGAACTACCCCACTCCTATGGTCTCCCATCCAACACCCCCTCNCCCCCACCCCTTCTCCTCCCCTCCTCTCCCACACAGAAGTTGCAGGAATTGGACGACATCTGACAATGGTCAAGAGCTTTGTGTTATTTCGGATAAACGTTTTGTAGCAGCACGCAAAGCTGGACATAAACTGGAAATATCTATAGGCGCCGTTAGCTAAGCCTTACACTGTATCAGCTCTTAAAGCCACGATATCAGTAAAAAGCTGACAACGCTACTGCTAGATTGTAATCTAACCTTTACAAAGTGCTGTGGAATATTTTTCAGCGATGAGGCCCACTTTGGTGGCTCGTATTTATGGAGCTGTGAGATTGTGTAACTACCACTCATTTCCGTAAAATTAAGGAATAAACTAGTCTCGTGACGACTCGCGCCCTTCCTTCTCGCGCTCGCGATTCTCGAGTGAAGTGCAGCTGGTCAGCGACTCCAGATGCATTTTCTATTTATGTAAGATAACTTGAAAATTCCCTAGCCGGTCTCGATGAGTGGGGTTCCCAAATCTTACTGTCAATCGTCAAATAGGAAACATTCACGGGGGAAAAAGCAGTGTAACAAACGATAAAACGTATGGAAGAACTCACAAGGCACATTCGGAGATGCAGGAGGGAACACGCTGGGAATCCATACCATAACGCAAACACGAAAAATGCGTACGCGGGGATTGGAAGATCTTGGAAGAGAACGCATTCCACTTTACAGAAACACATAGTAACGAGCTCCGGGTCCCCGGGTGACGAGCAAAGGAACGCATAGGCAACGCTTTATAGGGTATGCGAAATTTACTGAGCACGCACAGTGAACGCAATTGCAATGATTTCAAAACAATATAGAACTTTTATTATAAGTACTACCCCTCTGCCATCTGCCCTGCCCCTCTCCTTCCCCTCTCTAAAAATAACAAATCGCTGACTGATGGCGCAAGCAGCTCGAGCAAATTACAATGTACTCGAATTGGACAATTAATTTTAGTGTCCTTCTACGAAATATATTTCACAGAACGTGTTTCTATTCATCTATTGTGTTCCAGGGAACCAATGACCCGACGCAAGTGTATGATTGGGCAAAAAAATATTTTATTTTCAGTTAACGTAACTCAAGTGTACCGAATGCATTTACGTGTATCCATGTCGTTATATTGTTAACGCAATTTAGAGAGACAACTAGTTACTTCGTAAAGCCGTTAAACAGTTTAAACTCATATCTGGCAAGTTATTTTTATCAACGGACGAATTGAATCAAGGTTTGAAAAGTACTTTACTATTGGTCTTAATTAATTTTATATAGACAAAACACTGAGGTTTGAAAAACACGTAATGGTTATTATTAATTTTTCACAGACACAACACTGGTTTTACAACACAATAGGCTTGTTTTTCATATTTAATAAACAACGAAAGACGAACGCGGCTCAAAACTGTACTGAAAAAATTACGATAGCAAATCCGGCTCTTCCCAAAACAATTTCAGGAAAACTATGAAATAAAACGACCGCTTTCGGGGTGAAGAAAAACGTACTAAACTGATTGGGTTGCTCCTTTTCTCGGCACGGAAGCTGACGCAGTTAATTGTAAACATCTTTGTGGCTCGAAAATGTTCGTGTTCAACATTTCAATAAATTAAGGAAGTGCTCAGGGGACCGCGTCATTTTGTTTCCTGACTTTGTCGCAAGTGTTAGCGGTGCGTAAGTTTTTCTGTGCGGTTTTCAAGAATTGAAGAAATCACGATGAAGTTCTTTCCAGTCGTTTCAACCACTGCGTTTCTGACAATTCTGTGTCTGGTTGCGTCACGCAGCCCCGCGGTAAGTCACACGTTTGAAAATTTCTTGTTAACAAGCTGTTCAGTTACAGCGCAATCCCGCTATTTCGACTGAACCTCAAAGTAAAACGAAAAATCAGGCTGTTTGAGAAATCGGGGGTAAATTTAAAACTTGGTTCGACTGAGGGGAGGGTTCGAAAAATTGGGATTCCATCGTGAATCTGGTATCTGACTTTTAAGTCATTTTCTTCGGTCGTGACAAAAGTCACCAAACTGGTAGACAATTAGTTAATACATCGTTATTCTCCGCTAGAATTTCAAAAACCTATCACGAACAGTTCAACTTCACCTAATGATATTCGCTACAAGCAGAACGCAACTTTTGTTACGAATATAGCTAGCCTACTCAGACTTACTCTTTCAGCGAAAGCAAACGGAATATTTCCGAACAAAGAGACTGAATTTGGTCACAAAAAGGCATACAGATTTTAGGGTCCAAAAAATTAAGTTGACTAAGAACAATTGAAAGCGAGCAAGTGAAAGAAACATTACATAAAATAAAAGAATAAGAGCTACAACCAAAATACCCGTCGAATAATGATAAAAAAGAACTTCTAAGGTTCAGTTGTGAGTAGCTAGAATTAAGACAAAAAAACAATGTTAGTAAAGTATCCGGAAGAGTAATTTTTGTTCCCAATAATTGCTTTAGTAAATGTTTCATTTGAGATGCTTAAAAAACGCGCGTCAATATACACAAACTATTAGTATTTGAATTTTACGGGTATTGTGCTTATAATGGCATAGTACTTAGTAATATTACTGGAAATATGCCTCATACTAGAGTGGAGGTGTGTTCAATTTCTCTGCTCACAACTCTAATTTACTTCTTCGGTTTTATTGCAGTCCGCGTTTCCAACAGACTCTCGCAAGGCGCAGGTGAGTGACACGGTTTATCAATTAACTGGTCACTTAACTCAACGACTTTGCTTAAGAACAGGCTACTCAAAAATTATATGCTCTATGTTCAAATTTTAAGTTAATACTTGATGCTTTTTCATCCGCTGATTTTTGCGCTTTAATTCGCCAGTTTCTAATGATAGTTTTGTTTACAAACTTGTTCTGCAGGAAAACGTGATTTATCATCAAACCATGACTCCAACTTGGCTGGAGGAGCAGGCGTCCTATATTGACAGTTCCCATACGAAAACCACCGAACAACTCAGATTTAACTCAGGCTCAGTGAATCGCGCTGCCCTCCTTAAAGTTCCCATGATTCCTGCTGGTGTCTTGCAATATTCCGCTCCGCTGACCGTTAAAATTGTGGTTTCTCATGACGTCAGTATCGGGACAACACAGGACAGTGATATTTCATATGGTGTGTCAGACGGGATAGCTGTTGTCGGGATTACTACGAGAGATAAATTTACTTACACTAGCAGCTCCCCGTGTCATGGGTTCGAGAGTACCTCTGGTACAACTTTGAGTCAACATGGATGGATCAATTATTCTTCACCCAAAGTAAGCGACTCTTTCTATCCCGGTCAGTTTGTGATCACCCTGAAGCTGGATGAACGCTGGGGCTCGTGCTACACTGCGCATGACGGAGGCTTCGTTAAGACCACTTCCTACACCAAGCGACTGATGCTCAACAAAGGACTGACGCTCGAGGTATACAAGCAAAACGCAGGTGAGAAAGTTGGAATCAAGTACATCGAAGTCACTGTCCTTCAAGATGCTTAGCATACAAAAGGAACCTGTCAGAAAATCCGAAATGCAAAGTCTCAATTATTAAGTATTTAGCGTGCACTCAAATGAGACGAGAAACTTAGACTTTAGCATGAAACCGTAACGAAACTTTGCATTCAGTGCAAAATTAAGGGATATAAATCAGTAAGGGGAATTTGATTTTGTTATTTCCTATAGCAAAACGTGATCAACAATAATGGAATTCTTCATGTAATCCGCTTTGCTTGCTGGAATAAAAAGAAAAACAGGTGTTGGTAAACTGTGAAGTTTTTGGTTCTTTATAAATTATTGCACTTATCCAGAGACTAGATCAATAACAATGACAGTGACAGTGACAGTGACAGTGACAGTGACAGTGACAGTGACAGTGACAGTGACAGTGACAATGACAATGACAGTGACCATGATAGTGGCAGGGGCAGTGGCAGTGGCCGTGGCAGGACAGTGACAGTGACAGTGGCGGTGCAAGACAGTGACAGTGAAAATAACAATAACAGTGACAATGACAGTGACAGTGACGGTGACAGTGACAGTGACAGTTACAATGACAGTGACAATGACAATAATAATAACAATAATAATAATAATAATAAATGGGTTCTTAAAAACGCATTTTACATCCCATGGAAGTCTCAATGCTTTTACCGTCCTTTTACTTAAAAGCCCGAATTAAAAAGCCCTAATCTGAAAACGCTCTCTTAAAATGAAAATGACAAAGACAATGGCAGTGACAGTGACAAGGACAGTCACAGTGACAGTGACAGTGATGGTGGCAGTGACAGGACAGTGACAGTGATAGTGGCGGTGCAAGACAGTGACAGTGACAATGAAAACAAGTGACAATGACAGTGACAGTGACAGTGTCAATTACAATGACAGTGACAGTGACAGGACAGTGTCAGTGACAATGACAGTGTCAGTGACAATGACAGTGTCAGTGACAATGACAGTGACAGTGAAAGGACAGTGACAGTTACAGTGACAGTGTCAGTGACAATGACAATGACAATGACAGTGACAATGACAGTGACAGTGACAATGACAGTGACAGTGACAGTGACAATGACAGTGTCAGTGACAATGACAGTGACAGTGACAATGACAGTGTCAGTGACAATGACAATGACAGTGACAGTGACAGTTACAGTGACAGTGTCAGTGACAATGACAATGACAGTGACAATGACAGTGACAGTGACAATGACAGTGACAGTGACAATGACAGTGACAGTGACAATGACAGTGACGGTGACGGGACAGTGACAGTGACCGTGACAATGACAATGACAGTGACAGTGACAATGACAGTGATAGTGACAGTGACAGTGACAATGATAGTGGCAGTGACAAGACCGTGACAGTGACAGTGACGGTGACGGGACAGTGACAGTGACAGTGACAGTAGCACTGACAGTAACAGTGACAGTAACAGTGGCAGTGGTACAATAATAATGATATTTCCCTTCCGAGTTTTACCCAAACACAAATCCAAAGTGATCGGTGATCGTTGTGTTTTCAACATTTGATGCGTTTTCCAAGTGAGATACCAGACTTTCAGCCTCACTGCAGCTGTTGATTTACCTCTAATGATATTATCTAAATACATGTAGTAGGTGATTCAAAGGCTATGCGGCATAATAACTACTTATTAGAAGCAGAGGACCACAAACCCACAACTTCGTTATACGACGCTTGCTGACCAACGTTAAAGGCAAGGACGAATCCAACGACAGACAGGGAGCGGTTTACAGGATCAAATGCTCCGATTGCCAGGCTTCCTACATCGGTGAGACTGGCAGACACGAGACTGACTGAACACAAACGAGCAACGAGAATGACTCTGGAAAGCTGGTACACTAACTTAGAACAAACGCCTAGTGAAGTCAAGAACTACTGGCACCTTACAAACGATTTATTCAGAGCATAAACAAAACCGACAAACAGACCTCAAACAGACCGACTAAATTTGACTAACAATAGACGGACCTCATACAAGCCGACTTAATCAGTTTGACTAACAGTAGACGGATCGAAACTTGCTAGAACTGACCAATGACTGCTGACAAACTTTACACCAGTCTTTCAGCCAATACCATCACGGCCAAACTGGCCAATCACTTTCAACGGAGCAGACTTGTAACATCGACTGACTAACACTATTCACTTGACTCTGAGGATGACCTCCGCACAGGTTGTCGAAACGTCAGTCTCCAACAACAGTTCTTTTCAGAACCACCCTCACCCGGACGATCACACTATACGAATTACTGATACTCCTGGGTTCAAACCATTCACTTTGTAACAACTGATACCTCGGACAAACTAGTTAATTTTGTTTTCCTAGAATCTCAGTGTTTCCCATGGCTCACCTTGTAAACGTTGAGATTGTTGAGAAATAAGATTAATTGTTGCATCCTTCTGGACCAGTCATTCAAAGAGTGTCGAATGCCACACTTTGAAAACCCTACGGAAGATATTTGGAGTAAAGCACATGAAACACCACCATAACATCAAAATATGCTAATTAGTATAGGTAATCATACGGTCTCGAGTTAAATTCGGAATTAATATGCACGAGTGAGTTTTTTAAAAAAGCCGAAATTGCACAAGCCGCTTTTTTACTTATCAATATCATAAACATGAAAAAAATTGGCGTGGGGGAAGTGCCGGAAGATCTTTCTTGAAGCCATTTTTTCTCTTATGAGAAAACTTTTTTCAAAGTTTCCGCACAAACGTTTCGTCGTCATTTTACGTGATATCATTGGCTTAGAAAATTTCCTATTGTCTTCAGCCAATCATAATCCAGAATTACGATGTGTAATTTGCATTGGTGCTACACTTTTTGCACTGGTATTACACTTGATCTGCACTGCTCTCAGCCAATCAGAATCGAGTAATTTTTTCATGTACATTATTAGATAGTAAACAACTTCCAAAAAATGTAGAAACCTTTCATTACAAGATCTATCCCACTCTTATCCAACACCACATCTCACCCCGCCTCCTCCATCTCACCAGGATAGGTTTTCATCGATGTTCAGTCCGAGAGCTTTGCTATGATTTGTTTGGTTTATTTTGACGCCGTCTACATTGTGAATCCCAAGATGCATGTTGTTTCAAACTCAAAACTCTGCAGCAACGCATATAGCTTTATTACTACGGTTAGGCATACGGTCCAGAGTAATCCCTCGCGAAAACAGAGCTTTTTGAAAACGCTCTTCAAACCGGAGGAATTCGAAAACGCCGGCTTTGAGTTTTCGTGTGGACAGAAAACATTTTAAAACGGACCTTTTCGAACATGATAGGATCAGGAGAACCGCGTGATTTCCCTGGCCGAGATTTCCTCAAGCAAAAATATAAAACGACCGGTGGTTGTTGCGTTTTTAAATTGCTCCGGTGAAGTGTGGACGACCGGGCCTATTGTAAGCTTCCTAGGCTCCTAATGAAGTCAATAGTGAGACGGTGTTCTTCAATGAGTCCAAAGAGAAAACAATTGGAGGAGGTCCCACGCAAAGGAGAAATGCACCATTAATAAACACCGTAAACAAAATAAATATTTAGGAGTGGAGCTCTTGAAGGACCTGAATCAAGTTTAATATTCGTTATATGTTACTAGCATTATCACGAAGGCTAACCCAGCGGCTAAATAAAGTTTTACTTTACTTGCTTTTACTGTCGGATTTATCAGAAGGAGCCTGCATCGTTGCCCCAAACACATTTAAGAAAAACTCGTTATTTATTAGTATGAGACCATCTGTGTACATGTCGGATTGACGAACCCAAAAGGAAATTCATGACATCCAGATCTTGGCTATACAATTTATTATCGAATACCAAGGTATGTGATTCGCATACAATTCATGACATCCAGATCTAAGGTGTACAACGACAAGCTGCTCGTTTTGTTAAACATTTTTATTATCGAATACCAGGGTATGTGACCAGTCTCTTGAATGAGCTAATAATGATAACGCATCTAGTTAAATCGGTTGTTATCAGTTCATGTGGAACCAAGCCGGCTATTCATCTGCAGTACATACCACTTCTGCGACGGTCGCTACATGTAACATGCAATATTCGTTAGATTTAGACCAATTAAGATTACAGAAAATGGATATAAGAGGATGTGCTCTAGTGACAGTTATAACTTATTTCTTCTGTAATCTTTAGAGATCAGGTGCTTTTCCGATTATGGCTCCTGAAAAAACTCAAAATCCGGGTGATCGCGAATTTTACCTTTTGGACTCTAAAATTAGTTGTTTAAGGTAGAGCTATGCCAATTAAATCGCCTAAATGCATCAAATATCAAANAAAAAAATGCAAAAAATCGGCCAAATATGTCTGAAAAATGTATTTTATGCGCATTCATTCGTGTTGTCCGGGAGACTGGTGACTTGTACGGGAGACCGGGACATTCGGTCTGTATCCGGGAGACCAGAAAACTCCCGGATAATCCGGGAGAGTTGTTATAGATGATTTATCATCCAATTGAGGTTTGTCAAGTTTCTTCATGAGGTTCATCAGCACGTTCTGTTTACTGATACGGACCGGTTTGTTTCCCTCCAGTGTCTTCAGAGGCGGGGAGGAACAGAATAGGGAGAAGGGAGAAATAGCCCCAAAAACGTTCACTTCAATGACGGTGCAAAAACTATTTTATGTGTGTTAAAAGAACTTGGAATTGCGCCAGGAACTCACTGCAGGGATGCTTGTGCTAAGCTCGATCACCGCAGACTAAGTCATTTAGAAAGAAAGGGTAGTGCAGAAGCTAAAAAGAGGAGAACACAGTTGAGAAACTGGAAAAAAAAGGCTACTCTGAAACATTAGAAGCAAGAGAGGGTCCTACCTATGGAGCTGGGGCCTTTTAACTGTATTAGAAGAAAGAACATGTCTCAGTGAGCTATTCTCTAACTTCTCGGACCATTTTCTCCGCTTCTGTTTTTAAGGTTTCTGACTACTAAGAAACCTAATATATCAAAAATTGTTTTAGATAATCCAGTGAAATTTTCCAAGTGCTTTCAGGTGTGTAAAAGCTGTGCAATGACCCACTTTTATGAGATTCTGACTAGTACTTCAAGTATAAGTTCATTTACCTGGTCACAGTTCACGCTAATTTTATTCACTTTCTTCTTGCATTTATAAATATTGATTGATTGTGTATATTCCCCTAAAAGTGGGTCATTGAATAGCTTTATATAAGATGATAATGCCTGCCAAGGGTTAGCTCTTTATCTTTCCTCACTCCAGAAAAATTAGGTTCAGCGTAAACCCAGTTTTGAAAAGCCCCAAATTGGGTGTGGTTTAATTTATGGGTGTGGCTGCCTAGGAATTTAAGGAATTCAAGTCAACTTTAAGAATTAGAAACTTCAAGCAGTGTTATATCTGGTGTTGTAACAAAAGTTTCAGTAATGGGTACAAAAGTTTCTTTAAAAATGTCTTAAAAATAGCCATTTTGGGTCTATTGAGCCTCCATAACGACATGATCTCGACTTTGCGCCTGCACTCGCCTTACACAGCGGATGTCTGTGGGGGCACGTATGTAACCATGGTTATAGAACTACCTTAATCCTTGAGGGCGCTCTGTGCAGTTTGAAATTGGTCTCGAAATCGCGTGGCTTGTTGTGTATGTATTTTATCCTGAAGTTAGCTCAAAAGGTGAGTAACCGAACTCGTAACACTTCAAATTGACTGGTACAGTACAAAGGAACTGGTTGCATTTCAAGCGGCTGTATCATGTCGTCAAATTTTCATGCCTTGACTGCCTAGCTCGCGGGCTGGACCGTAGTCAATGTCACCGAACAGAGATGCATTGTAAATCTTAATAAGCAAAATAAGCTTAATTAGTGAAACGCAAATCAACTTTTAGAGTAACAATTACCGAGCTATAGCATTCTCGTAAGCTAAAAAAATGTGATTGGAAGTCCGGGACTCTGTCTCAAGAATCTGCAGGAATAAGCCTCACGTGTTTGGAAGCCATCTTGACGGGTCAGTGTTTGTACGAATCCGATGGCAAATGATTTTGTTACAATTTACCCGGCGTCGTGAATCGAACATTCGGTAATCGAACACAATCGAACTCCAATTGACCGATTGACATCTATTGGTTTCGGTAATCGAACAGTATTATACATTGAACTCACTATCTCTTTTCTGATTGGCCAAAAGCGTAGAGTGAATTTTCGAAATCAGCACCTGTGATGTCATCTAGCTGCAGATTCTACAATAATCATGTCAAGGACACTCAAGGTCACAGATAATGATGTCATGTACAACCACGATGCATGATGTCTAAGGGTTTACAATCATGTCAAGTTTGTGCACTTTGTGTTGCTTCCCGTCAGTGAAGAAGCAAAAACATGTCCTCCATTTTTTTTCGTTCAATGTATAATAAAACAATTAAAAAGACAACTAATTTGAGTGATGTAGTAATGCTAGAAAGCGTTCAGATGCATTTTTTATTTTGAAATACGTTTGTCTGAATTTTTTCCATGAGGTGGGGCAACCAGGGTTTGAAACTAACTTTTTTCTAAATAATAATAATAATAATATTTAATATTTCTAAGACGCAAATTAACATGTGAATATGATCAAATGCGCCTAACAAACCATATGAGTAATATAAATTAAACGATATGCTATGAATAGTGTGATTAATTTAAAACTAATTATTTACAATAATTATGTACATTAGGCTAAGGTAACGAGCTAAAAATTAAAATATTAAAAACAAGGGATCTAGTAAAAATGTATAGAAAACATCAAGAGCTATTCAAACGCTTTTCTATATTGGTGCCACCTGGCAACTAAACCAAAATTTTTGGTCGCCAGATGGAAAATTCTGGTCGCCAAATTTTTTCGGAGAATTAAGAATGAAAAGAATGCATTACAGGCTGATTATTTTTACACCTATCTCTGAAAAACCACAACAAACGAATCAAATGCCGGCCATATACGCAGTTTCATGCCAAGTGTTTCAAGTCAAGTTTATGCCTTCTCTTGTTTCTACCTAAGTTTTCAAGAACAAATATATCCAACTGAAAAACTGCCATTTAGTTCTTTGATCTATGTTCAAATTATGGAAAGATTCCAGAACATCTTTGGACACCACATCGCTTGAATAAATATTCATGGCAAAAGAACGCATGTTACCCGTGCGCCCGCAGTGCGTATGTTATGGGAAACTGCTGAAAAAAACATGGCGGCAAAGCTTCGCAATTATCTAGCTGTTAATGTTGAAACGTTGTGGTAGATTAATAACAGGGAAATAGTTTTTTTAATTCAAAAGCAGAGGAAAAGTAAAAAGTAAGTGAGCTGTTGGTGGGTGACTTTGAATTTTATTCGCAATCGATATGGCTGAAAATCAAAGTTATTGTATATATAATATTATCGTGGCCTGAAATGCTTAGTCACCAGCTGGTGACCAGTTGTGAAATTCCAGTCACCAGTACAAAATGTTTAGTCGCTTTGGCGACCAGGAAAGCACAGTTTCAGACCCTGGCAAGCTTGTCAGCTTCGTACAGGTTGGCAGAAACAAAAACACAACTGGGTCTTCCTAGCACAACTGCATCCCGCTCAAATTTCCGAAGGGCATTACCCTACCGTCAAGTTGCCTTCTAAAACCCATGATAAGGTCTATCGGAAGAAAGCAAGCTTGAAGGATAGGGAGGAAGTATCCATTTAATTTTCAGGGTTGAGCTTTCCTTTAAGGACCTATACCTTCCCACTTTTGAGTTTGAAACTGGCTTCCGTTGGGAATAAAAGTCGAAAAAGGAGAGAAAAAATGTTCAAATATTTAAACAGCCAGCTGTTTTCTTTTGAAATCTTAACAGAAATCATGTTGCTTCTTGTCATGTTTCAACACAGCGTTGCATGTTGAAAGATTTCTCCCACAGGGTGTTGTACACATAATATAAACAATGGCCTCCATCTGGGGTGAAAATGTGCTTGGATATTATTTTGTCCATGGACATTACCTGTTCTAAGAAGTGAACAGTTTTCAGAGGGCATAACT